CGAATCAACAAATATCCAAACATGCACCGTAACCCGTTGGTTTTTTTAATAATCAAACACAAATGTTTATTTAGAAAACGCATTACGTACTCGAGGACTTTCAATTAGAATTAAAATCACTATTGTAGTAACTTCTGATTGATTTTTGAATGTCGAATGAGGTGATAGAGAATAACTATTGCCAACTTTCTTCTGTTTGATAGATGACTTTATTGATTTAGAAATGAAAATACTGATTGTTTAATGAAATATTAATGAAATGATACCATAATTCTTGGTAAAAGACTCAAAGTCTAGAAGTGGACTTCTCGAGTTCTATGTAAAAATAGTTTGATATTTGGCTTTTGTCTCATTGGACTTTCGATTAGAATTAAAATTAAACTTTAGACATGATAAAATATAAAAGTATAATTCTAAACTTTATACGGGGCGGGATATAAACGAAACGGATCGTTGATGATCCATACGTGACCTTTTTAATAAAAAAGTTAGCAGATACGGGTCGTTAACGGGTAAACGAATAAAAAATTATGCTCCAAACTCATATAATTCTTAAGCGCTTGGACCGGATTAGGGTCAAAACCCACTTCATTGTCAAACCCTGGAGAGGTGATAGACTTCATTTGAGAAGCTTGAAAATGTTCGTATTGTTTTTTATGCGTTTTAGGATAAAAGCTCGAAACCTATAGATTTAAGGACTTTGTAAGTTCCATTAATATTATTCAATTGCATACTTATTTACAACCAAAACACGAGATTGAAATGGAATCAAACTCTCATGTAATTGTTGAATCACATACCCCGTTACATTATTTTTTTACATTAATGCAACATAGTTTAACTGTTGAATGTATAAACTTATTATCTTTAACAGATTTGGTAAAAGTTATGTTTGCTAATAACATCAATATTTATATGATAAAAATACTTTTTATTGAATCAATCAAAACTTAGAATCATATTTTACGATTATAAATTATAAAATTGGATAGATTTCCTTTGGTTTCTAAAAATATAAACATTCTTACAATTACATTTTCTGTCAAACTTATATGTTCTATCAAAAACAGAAATATGAAACATAAAATAAACATATATTATAATTATTCAATTCTTATCTTTTACAAAATTTTCTAAATATCAAGTATTTAAGTCAATTGATGTCACGTCTTGTGGGTTCTCATATTTAATGTTGAAGGGTATTAAAATTAGCCAAGTACACTCAAGCTCCAATTAAAAATAAAAAAAATATGTCATCATATCCACAACTTCTAGAAACGTTTCCTATCACTTTTGAGGGCACTCGTATTTAAAAGTAATAGAAACAGCCTTGTTAATTAATTCTATTTAATAAAATTAAGTTTTTATAAAGCTCGCATCACAAACTTACCATAAATTTTTAAATATAATCATAAATTTGGTCGGGTAAGAGATATTTCAGAAAAGCCAAGATCAAATCATAAGTATACTCTATCAAGCATAGAATATTACAATTACCAAAAAAAGAATAAATAAATAAATAAAAACTGAAAAAAACAAAAAACGAAAAACAAAACCATTATAACAAATCTATAAATATAATAATAGAAATTGACAAATTCTACCCTTATAAAATCACTTAGTAAGTTAAATGTAAATAAAGGTATGCATTATCTTGTATAGTTTTAATTATAACTAGTAAAGAACCCACGACTATGCCGCTTTTGGGGTAATATGGAAAAAATCGGCAAACTTTAAAAGATATGTGCTGAAATTGTAAATCACCATAAATAGGGAAGAAAGTCGACAACTCCTAAAATTAGATGTCAAAAGTGTACAACGAAAAAAAAGGGACACTGGCGGAGAAAATCCAAAATGTTGTGGCAATAATATTAAAGTTGTTATCGTTGGGAAAATATGTTGGCAAAATTTTAAAGGAGGTTTTTTTGTGTTTTTTATGTCAAAATGTAAAACTTTTGACTACAAGGACAAAAAGTGTCAAATTCATTAAAGAATTGTGGCAAAAACACCAAAATGTAATACCTTTGAATATAAGGACTAAAAGTGTCAAAGTCATTAAAGATTTGTGGCAAAAACCTTAAGGCACAAAAACTTAATCAAAAGGCAAAAATGTAAAAATTTTGACTTTAGGGACTAAAAGTGTCAAGTTCAGCAAACTTTTGTGGCAAATTTTTAAAGCCTAAAAGAATACTATTCCTAAGCTCTTTTGGATTTAATATATATATTTTGTGGCAAAAACCTTAAGGCACAAAAACTTAATCAAAAGGCAAAAATGTAAAATTTTTGACTTTAGGGACTAAAAGTGTCAAGTTCAGCAAACTTTTATGGCAAAATCCTAAAACCTAAAAGAATACTATTCCTAAGCTCCTTTGGATTATATATATATATATATATATATATATATATATATATATATATATATATATATATATATATATATATATCATGAATGTAAATAAATGTTATTGACTTTTGTGGCTTCATGAACTTATATAAAAGGATCCAATAAAGCATTTTCAAATCTTTTTCACTAAAAATTAAATAAACAAAACGATGTATATCATTATAATAAAGTTTATTCATAACTTTATTTGTGGTCCTACAAAAATTAAAAAGTTAAACTAATAAACTTAATATTATTTAAATTGTGAACAAGTTCTATGCCGTGGCTTCTAAATATAAAATCACATTGGAAAAAAAAAATCGGATGAAAAACGTCACGATAGTTTCTTTGACTGAAAGAAAAAGCTAATTTAATTTAAAATGTTTTCCATAAGCTTCTATCATGAATACTCATAATATGCATTAAAACTTTAGAAGGTTTATAATAAAAATTATCAAAAAAAAATAAAAAATAAATAAATAAATAACCATACATAGTATTGTGCTTTTTCACAAAATACTTTCAACAAAAGATGATTAAATAGTTTTACAGTCATCTATAACTTAAAAGAATACCAAAATACATTTTTAACCTGAATAAAAAAAAAAAAAAAAAAAAAAAAAAAGTCGTGTACTTTTAAACTTTGAGCAGATAAGTATTATAAAATAGTTTCAAAAGATGAATAATAATTAACTAGAAAAAAACACATAGTATTATGTATCTTTTATAGAAAAACCTTATCATATAAAACAACATAAACAACAAATCTTATGAATCCCATTAGAATGGTATAGAAAGAGACATAGCAAAATGACAAAAAATCCTTAAGGTAAATGTAGGGATTTACTTTTTTTTTTTTCGTAAGTCAGGTTTATTAAAGCCGGAAGTTTGTATTTTTTTTTTTTTTCAGTTCTATCTTTTCGTCTATTTTCTGTTTGACATAAACGTTTGATTTTACTCTTTTTTTTTCTCTAGTTCATTACAGCACTTGAGTCTGTCTAATAGAAATATTCAGTTTTACCGAGTAAACCTGCAAAAATAGTAAAATTGAAAAAAAAAATAATAAAAACAAAAAAGTTTCAAACATCCAACTTTAACGAATTAGAAATACACAAAAAATAAATCCTCACATATCTGTTAAAATTGAAGGTTTTTATGTAATTTAACCAAAAATAAATATCGATAGTCATACGTCCATATGGGAAAAATAACTTCGTTCAAGAATGATATCCAACAAATACAAAAACAATTGCATGTCTTTATCATATAAAACTAACTTCTTAAAACTTATCCACAATCTATATGCAAGAATACATGAGGTGTTTTTATGACAAGACCTTAAGCTATTAACTGAAATTTATGATTTCTTCACAAAACAAAATAATCATAAATGTATGATAAATTTTATTTGTTTTAGAAAATATCATAAATTCATAATCAACTGTCATTTCTTTTCACAAAAATATTATTAAACTATTTTTATTTATGAATGTGTGTATCTATGAAGAGGAGTTGGAACTCATAGTTAGATGACTGTAAAAGTGGTTTGATTGTATTTCTACAGAAAAGGTAGGAACCGTACACGTGTCAATCAAGATGGCCACAGTCTACATTATACAATCAATCTCCCTTTACGTGTTCCAAATGACAAGCATATAAATACAGCGTACACTACACCACATCTGTAATAATCGTGTGACCCACCACCAGGGCCGTTGATTAGACTCGATCCCCCACGTGGCGTCCGATTATCGGTTCTTCTCAACGTCTCCAAGACTTGTCCTGTTTTTAAGGGGGAGGGTGGGTCCCGATCTGCTGTTGATAGGACCATTGATGTTTATTTTACGTCCCTTCACCCAGATACCGACACGTGGAATGCGGGACCTAGCGCCCACGTGCGGACCACGCTGGGTTGTCAGAACAGACACTAGAAGAACATCTTGCGTTGCTCTTCAAAACCTGCCACATGTGTTAGTTGAGTAAGTTTCACTTTATACCCCTTTACTATCATAAATGTTATATTTCTCATCCTTTTTCTTTTTTTGCTAAAACTAAATCTTTTGCTAAAACTAAATCTTAAAAAGTTATAATTATTATTTGTGTAGAAGTATTTGATAAAAAATAATTATAATTATAATTATTTTAAAAAATAAAATCTAAAAATTAAAAATTTCTGAACACCAATTTTATTATATTTCATTTTAAAAAATCAACCTAAAAGGTCTAAGAAAAACTCAAAAAATTCATCCCATAAAAAATAATTAAATAAATAAAAGTGTAGAAAATAACAAAAGTTCTGACAATCTGGCTATTCTTATAAACCGAAAATTTTCATCCAAGATTCAATATTTATGTTTTCTTCGACAACTCTCCTTAAGATATAGATCATAAAAGAACGTTATATTTTTCGATAAAATTGAATCATATGATAGTTTGTATATATAAAGACTATTAACAAAAAAGAAAAAAAAACATAATGACGCCGATAAATCAAACTCTACATAACGAAAATAAAAACATAAAAATACCAATAGCTCAACTCGATATAACATGGCCCATTTAATCACGTCATCTATATCGCTTCAAGTACGCATAACTTTAAATTTCCAAAGTTATGCATCAATCGATTGTATAATAATAATAACAATTTACAAAAATGTAAAACCAAAATCAAAGAATCAAATTAGCATATATCAAATTATTCATCAACAATCTCAAAATCAACATGATGAAGAAGACGAAGATCCGAGACGGCGTTTCAAAACACGAAGAACACTCCACATGAATCCGGATGCAATGAACATGAAGATACAAGCAACAATGGCATACTTGAGGCCAATGTTGACCAACATGTTGACCAAAAGACTAGCCAAAACAACCCCACAAAAGTTTGCAGAAATGGCAGACCAAAAAGGGATATCAAGGATGGAAGCTATGATGGCTCCAGTCCATGCACCAGTGCCTGGAAATGGCACTGCTACAAACAGCATTAGACCTAGCCATTGGAACTCTTCAACGGGTCCCGCTTTTTGTTTTGCTTTTTTGAATAAAAGGTCTAGGAATTGAGCTGCTGGTTTACTGGTTCCAGCTAGGAATGTTGCTAGTGGTTTTAAGTAGAGTATGATCAAAGGCACAGGTACCATGTTCCTGAGAGGTTAAAATCATAGGTGTTAAATGTCAATTGTCATCAACAAAAATTTTTGTATCTTTCATTGTTGTAAACAAAATTCAAGCTAATAACATCTTTATGTGTAGAATGAGGATAATGTTTAGTGTGTTGGGTTTTAAATGTTTGTAAATGTTGTTGGTTTTGATGGTTTGTTAGTTTCCTATATCTGCTTTTTTTAATATGTCACAAGCATGTACGGAAAGAAACAACAGAGGCTTCTATGTTGAAGAAGAAGACTATGTTAAAGTACCAAAAAGGACAAGCAAAGGTAGTAGTAGCAACTAGCAAGTCACCCCCCAAACAAAAAGGTCCCACTTGATATGCACTTTACTCCTAATTATGAAGATTTAATCAAGGGAAGAAATGGCAGGAAAGGAGCAAGACAATAAAAAGAAATGAAGTGTGTCAAAAAGAGCTAGGAGACAAAAGAAGTAGTGAAATAGCAAGATGGTTTTACGATGCAAGTAATTCTTTTTATTTTTGTTGAATACTCTATTAAATGTCTTTATTAACTATGTGTCTATGTAAATTGTCAATGTAGGTAATTCTTTTTAATGTCGTTACGTATGATAGTTTTAATATAATGGTAGAAACAATTAGACAATTAGGCCTGGGTATGAAACCACCTAGCATGTATGATGTATGAGCTAAGAGTTCCTTTGCTTAATAATATCATTCAACAAAAGAAAGAATGGGCTCACAAAGGTAGTTCAATTATGTCGGATGTATCAGTTGTTCAAAAAGATATCATAAACTTTTTCGTTAACTCTCCAAAGGGTTATGTGTTCGTTAAATCCATGGATGTTTAAGAAAAACTTGTTGTTCGGTTTTCTTGATGAAATGGTCAAGGAAGTTGGAAAGAGAAGGTTGTACAAGTTATCATGGAAAACGCATAAGTTTACATTAAAGCGAGTAAAGAATAGATATTAAGTAACTTCACATTTTAAAATTTACATGATGTTAATTATAAATTTCACCTTGTTGTCTACTTTGTAGGGGAATTATTGGAAGCTAAAAGGCCACACCTCTATTGCAAATCAATGAAACTTGCACAACGTGCCACTATTTAAAGGTGTTGATTCGACATATTATGTTGATGACGATTGACAATGATATTGGAGGCTATTAGTTTCACATTTTCTGCTTATTTTAGATGATCGGCATATCGTGCATTCATAAAATGTGCTTTATAAGTGTCTTTATGAAAAAAGATGCACCTCCCGCATTGTGCATCGACCCCTGGGACCCTTAGTGCATCGTGCTTTTTAAAACCAATATCTATATACAGTTGTGGCATACCATTACTTAGTCTCTATACTCTACTTATTCTAGTGGCAACAACAAGGATATATACTTTATGAACTCCTACCCTTGAATATGGTACCCCACCTTGTAAGTAAGTTGTGGGCACGATTTAGGCACATGGGCACCATCATCAGGAAATACATCCTAAAAGGCACTAAACACGTATTGATCCAAAAATAATATTTCTTCCGACATGACTAAAGGCTTCACTTGGAAAGTATACTAATCTCCATTCCCAAATTGTCAATAAGAAGAACCAAATAGATAAGTATCAAGTACATGCCTACACTATGGCACTATGGTTTGAAGCTAACGATTATAGATATAGCATTGGGCTTCAACCAATGATGATACCACAACCAATCCCTCATGAAATCAATGGTAGAAAACATCCTAATCAAGGACTAGTCAGGATTTTTACAACAGTGGTCTTGTCGCTTTACTTCGGACTAGGGGGCTTAATGGTGGAACCAACAACAGGTTAAGGAACTTAAATGTCTTTTAAGACAGCAGGATACTCCTTTTTGGGTATAGACACATGTACCTTTATCTACCCATACTTCCAATTTTCCTATATGACAAAAAGAATTAGGTGAAAGGTCGTCATTTCTTCCTATAAATCCCCAATCCTCATTTAGTTTTGATCAAAAAAGTTACAACTTTATCTCTAATTTCAGGAAGCAAGATTGATTGTTACGCCACTTTAAACAAGAAACACGTATAAACAACCAAAACATTAAAAACCCAGAAGATATATGAGCAGAATTGACAGCAAACCAATGAAATGACAATCAAATCTTCATTCTTCCTTGAAATCCCTAATAACAATTTGTTTGGGACAAAAAATCATTACTTATAACTCACTTTTGATGCAAGATTGATACCCTCACCAATTTAACTAAACCCCTAAACAAATACATTCGTATTCGTTAAAGAAACAAGTAGTCATGAATAATATAAACAGATTAACAGTAAATTGATGAAAACAATGTTAGGGAAGTGGACTAACCCAAGAACAGATAAAGCAGTGAGAAGAACAGGCTTGAGTTGTAACCAATACCCAACAGGAATAGCACCACGGAGCTCGATCACTGGGAGTGTAGCCAAAGCAAACACCACAGCTTCATCGGGCCAACCCGACCCTCTCAAGAAATTAGCGAACTTCAATCCGAAGCTCGAAGCTTTAATGGACTGCACAGCCGCATGTGCTTCTTGCGCTTTAGCATCCGCAGGAGAAAATGCATATAAAGCTACCGAAAAAGATGCCCACAACAATGCCCAAAATAAGAATTTCACTGGGGAGTCTTCAACCACCGGTAAATCGTCGTCTTTTTCAAGTTTTTCGAGAAACACGTTTGTTGTTGAAGACGACGTTGAAGATTTTGTTGCTGTGCAACAAGGGTTTAGGCGAAAATTGAGACGAGACGAGGTTTTATAGGTTAGATATGGTTTTGAAATGGAATTGATTTGATTGTTTTCGATGAATAATAGGGTTGTTTGAAGTTTTGAGGGTCTGAAACCTGATTTTTTGTGGGAGATTGTCAAGATTGTTGAAGGATGCGGGAGATAAGAAGCCATTGATGGTAGAGAGTGAGCTTGTGCGAGAGAAACAAGGGTTTTAAACGCAACAGCTCAAAGGGTTTGGTGTTCGGTTTATAGAGAACATCAATTCTTTTAAAAATAATTTAATAGTGATATGCTTTTTCATAACAATTTAACAAAAACAACCCAAGAACAAGTGACATTATTAAATTATATGAAGTAATGTTACAAAGAATTATGGGTGATGAAATCAAGGTTCGACTCGTATCTTTTGTTATTATAAAGAAGTATCAAAAACGAATCTGAAATCGTTTTTAAGTAATATACTTATATTCAAATACAAGTTAATGGTTAGGAGTATTGCTCCTACAAATACATATGATTGGATTTGTTACATATGTAGCTAGTAGCTACTACTTGGATCATTGGCTACTTATGTCATTGATATGTTGCTAGAAATAGTTGACCAAAATTGTCAAAAAAAAAAACATCCTAATTGATATATATGATGTAGTTTTCATTTTGAGAGTTACTACTCATTAGACATGGTAATCGGGTTGGATTCGGGTTTACTGGTCACGGGTTAGCGAGTCAGAAAACATAAACTCAACCCAACCCATATAATATATGGGTTGGGGGGTCACAGGTTGACGGGTTGAAACCTCAACTCAACCCAACCAATATAACTCGTTTAAGTATATGGGTTCACTGGTTCACACTTCATAGGTTAGTGAGTTGAATCCAACCTGTATAACTCGTTTAATAAATAAGCAACACATTTTCAAAAAATAAGGTATTTTCAAACTAAAATCATAAAACCATTAAAGTCATTAACATAAAAAAAAAGTTTTCAATATAAAGTCATAAAATCATTAACATCCAAATAAATTTGAAAAATGAAAACATTCATACAAAGTGTTATTCGTACGGGGTGAGGACGTGAGGAGCGGCTGTCGGCCAGTGGTGATCTGGTGGATGCGTTTTTCGTCCGTAACTCGTGAGTATGTGTGTTTTCTTTTTTGATTATGACACCGCAAAAAACTAGTCACACGATTATACGAATACAAAAGGCGAAAGGATATACAATGATACAAAATATTACAGAATGAAATAAGTTCATTAATAATTATATATATATATATATATATATATATATATATATACGGGTTGGCGGGTTAACCTGCAAACCAGGGGCGTATCTACTAAGGCCCAAAGTAGAAAAATTAGGAACCATTTTAGAAAAAATAAATGACCTACCTTGAATTTGTTTTTTTTTAATTGTCTTAAAAAACCGTTTTAAAAGGAGAAAAAAATAAATTATTAGGGTCAGTTTGTTATTTTAAATTATAAGATTGATAACAAAAAGTTAACCACTCTTAATCGGCACTCTCAAAATATCAATAAACAAATAAATTGTTCTAATAAAAAGTTCACATGACAAAGACTCTCACTCTCCATTCACCGCTTTATCAATGGACTAATAATCAATTAGTTTTTCATTAAAACGTACGGTTTTTTTAGTTATATTTCAATCGGTTTTTTAAAATTCTTAATCGATGGTGCCTGATCGGTTTAACCGGTTGAACTGGTTGGTCCGGTTTTTTTAGGTACACGACCCGACCCCCATAAGTGTTGTTGACTTTTTTATTGGCTTCACTTAATTTGGGAACAACATGATTTTTTGTTATAGATTCGCCACTACCGCAAACCCAAACAAGTAACCCAACCCAACCAATAAAATAAACGGGTTGGCAGGTCAAAAATCTCAACTCAAACCCGTCTAGTTTCGGGTTTGGTCGGTATCGGGTTACAGGTTAGGCTGAGAGACTTGTCACCCCTACTATTCATATAAATACTTACATCTCATTCCCGAATTCAACTTAACGAGAGAAGAGAAAGGAAACGGGTAGAAGTGAGAAGAAAATAAAAGAAATTGGTGTTCCCGAATTTCATTAAATGAAGGAAATGGAATGATACTTTCCCTCCTAACCTTCCTTCCGATTTGAAAGGATTTAGAGAGAAAGAACAAAATATTTAATTTTTTTTCCACTTCTCTCTAGGGAACACAAAAGACAAATTTATTTTCCTTTCCATTCTCTTATTTTCTCTCCTTTTTTTTCTTTTTTTCTTTTCTTTGCTACAACTCGAAAACGGGGTGTTATTGATACAAGTAATTTAATGCTTATATATAAAATATAAAAGAAACTTTTAGTCTTTTACATGAATCTAGTTAAGGAATTCATGTTTAATGTCAAAACACAAAAAAAAAATCTCATTCATATCATCGAATTCATGATACATGTAATAAAGATCAGAATATTGTTTATAGAAAGTGTCTAACACGAATACACGATCATTTTTGGTATCCAAGTTGATTATGGTATCCTCTATTCTATCGTGTTCCTTTTCCAACAAATTTTGTTTATTGGATAAACTGTAAATATATAAATTTAATATAAGATTTTATTGCAAAGTATTGTAATTAGTATATTATTTTTGGTAGAAAGATCTTAGAGTTAACTTATGTATCACAATAAATTATTAAAGTAAATTGAATTTGTCAAAAAAAAATTGTTATTAATCTATTTAAATTTTTATTCTAACAAAAGATTCAAATTTTATCAAATGACATCTCCTCAAATCCTCTTATACAAAGTTATATTACCATTTTACCTTTCATCCTTACTAATATAAATCATATAATTTAAATATAAATCATGAATGTACAAATTTCTTTTAATTTCGCCTTCTTAATTTTAGAAACTGATTCAAATTTTGAAATAGCTAAATCCCTTATCAGATGACAACATTATTTTCATAATTGACTGTGTTCTTTTTTTTCATTTTATTCAAATTTATATTCCATTGTACAAAATCATGATTTTTATCAAATATCTACACATATAGAACATAGATCGGATATATATATATATATATATATATATATATATATATATATATATATATATATATATATAAACTAATCATTATAAACTTACACACAAAACTTTTATCTTTGTAAATTAATAAATTTTTACAAATCTTTTGAGTAAAACAAAGTTATTTGCCACAACAAACAATATTAGGTTTCATTCATTATATAGGTACATATATACAAAGAGATAATTATCAGATCCTTATAGATTGGATCTTATCTTTACAATAGTATAACTAATTTGTTCTTATCTCTAAGTACCCAGTTTACATTCTGCCTCAATCTTAACCGTAACTAGGTTGAGATTGTATCACAATTTGTCTAACATGAACTTTGTTGCTGGCTTTGTGAGACCATCCGATATCTGATGACCAGAGGATATAAAAAGAACATCAAGAGCTTCCGTCGCTACCTTCTCTCTGACAAAATGAAAATCCACCTCTATGTGCTTTGTACGTGCATGGAACACTGGATTAGCGGTTAAATATGTAGCCCATAGATTATCACACCAAAGAATCGGAGGTCTTGATTGTCGAACACCTAGCTCCTTGAGCAATGATTGTATCCATGTTGCTTCTGCCGTCCCATTAGCTAGAGCCTTATACTCAGCTTCTGTGCTTGATCGTGATATTGTGGGTTGCTTGCGAGAGCTCCACGAGATTAGATTAGGCCCAAGAAATATTGCAAAGCCTCATATTGACCTTCGATAGTCCAAACATCCGGCCCAATCTGCATTTGTGAATATGCTTAATAATGTAGAATTAGATTGCCTTATTTGAAGCCCTGTTGACAGCGTGCCTTTGACATATATCAGAATTCTCTTTATTGCATCCCAATAAACATTAGTAGGCTTGGAAAGATATTGACACACCTTGTTAACAGCAAACGAGATGTCAGGACATGTTAGTGTGAGATAATGCAGACCCTCAACCATACTTCTATATTTAAAAGCATCCTCATCACTAAAGGGTTTTCCAACATCATGTGCCAGTTTGTCCGTCATAGACATAGGGGTTGAAATGCTTTTACAATTCTCTATATGAACACAATGAAGTAATTCGGTGGCATACTTATGTTGCATTAGAGTTATTCCCCCTGAATTGTGAACAACTCCAATCCCAAGAAAACAAGTCAAGGCGCCAAGGTCTTTGATGGGAAAGGAAGTAGATAAAATACGAACCAATTTATCCACCAATTGTGGAGAGGACTCTGTGATGACAATGTCATCTATATACACCAGCATGTAGATGATAGCATTACCATGGTGAAACAGAAAAATAGATGTGTTAACTTTCGAAGCATGAAAACCCAACTCACAAAGCTTGTTAATTAAGCGAGAGAACCATGCACGGGGAGACTGTTTCTGCCCATAAAGTGCCTTTTGCAGCTTACAAACATGATGTGGTTGTTGGGGGTCTTCGAATTCAGGTGGTTGCTGCATATATACCTCCTCACTTAGAAACCATGGAGGAGGGCATCACTAACATCGATTTTTCGTAGGTACCAACGTCTAGAGACCGCCAACGAGAGAATGAGATGCACCGTAGCTGGTTTGACAATCGGAATGTAACACTTGGTCCAAGTACTATTCATTTCTTAAATATTGGAGTTTTTGTGGGAACTCGACGAGTTGGGGAGCTCCAACTCGTTGTGTCGAGATTTTTGTGTCCGCGGATTTTAATGATTCAGCTCGACGAGTTGGGGAGTCCCAACTCGAAGAGTTGGCGGCTGTGAAGGAAACCCTAATTTTTAGGGTTTGGCACCCTATTTAAAGACCTTAACTCTCTTGGTTGGCCTCTTTACCAGCCTCCTTGTCCAGAAAACCCTAATTTGGTGTGTTATCCTTCAAGGTTGACTGTGTGAGCTAGTAGTGAGCATGGAGAGTGGGTCTTTGGTGTTCTTTGGAAGGGGCTTGAAGATTGAAGGTGCTTGGTTTGGAATGAAGGCTTTGGATCCAGAAACTCTCCATTTTTTGCAGTTCTTTTGAGGTATAAAGTCGACATCTTGCCTTGTATTCATCTAGATCTCTTTGTTTGAAGTTTTAGCATGATTTTGGGATTGTGGTTGGGTTGTCCAAGGTGTTGAGGTTTCCAGGGGTTAATAAGTTAGATCTGACCCCTTCATGACTACTCTTGACTTAAAGTTGCAAAGTTTATTAGTTTCTATGTCCCATTCATGCAATAAGCC